AATAATAATACTTGAAATCAGACTTGTAATACATTGACAAATGTTCATTTTGATCAATATGACAATCCAGTAGTAATAATAACTATAATAAAAACACCATCAAGCCTGCCGTCTAGAAAGAATCAAGACAGAGCATTTATATATGCATGTGTGTCTGATACTCAGAAAACTAGTTCATTTGATCACCAGATGCTTAAAAAAATTTAAACAGAAACTAATTATAATTCACTCCTTAATCCTTCAACAAAATAATTATTATATGTTGATGACTTATTGACAGTAATTTATATAAATTTAAAAAAGAGAGGATGGTTAACTTTAAATCAATGATGATGACAGACATCAAAATGATGCTGACTATATAGTCAGTGATGATGGCAACAAATTAATTCAAACAAGGGTAAATGACAACTGTGATGAAATAAATGGCACATAGGTTCAGGTCATAATAATGAGAAACTGCCTGCATATACATGATGGAAGCGAGTTTTAAGAATTCTTACCTTTCCCTGTTTGACAGCATGTGATACCACCTGTCTGGAGCCTGTCTCAAGCCCTTTGTATCCAAACGGTTCAAATCCCATTTTAGTACAGTAATATGAGGCTGCCTGTTGGTGTTTTGTTTAGAAAATGCATCAATCACATCAGTGACACGTCTGTGCATAATTAAGTGACAGCTAGTGGTCAACAGCTACAACTAGGAACCTTAGAGTAACTAGCCCGGAAAATCAAGAATCCTGATGATCAAAAAAAATTACATAGTTGAAGTGAAAGTGCGGGTGGGCAATATTTTATTTAATGAGCACTCTGGTTTCCCAGCAGGCTACTCGGGATTCAAGTGACAGGGATGATTGAATGGCGGCAAAAATCAAAACCCAAAAATATCCCTAGGACTTCCAATAAAATCCATAAAAATACCTGGACCAAAAATTAACCCCAGAAACTGCCAAGCAGAATTTGCGAGCCTTAAAAAGTTTCAGACAGCATCAATGGATATAACAGGAAAAATAACATTAAATATAAACATTAAGAACCACATGTTTGTGCCTGGAAACGCAGGCATACCACGAATCTTGAGATTGTTTTGAATACCCCAAAAAATTCCTCCTTAAATCAAGCCACCCAAAAAAATATTACAGAATCAAAAATTTCAACAGTCCCAAAAAAATGCTTTGATCATCCCTATCACTTGAAATCCAGAGTAGCGCCCCCTCCGGTCTGCTTTCCCACTCATAATAATTATCTCACATTGACCAATGGTGAAATAGTATATATATAAAGAAAAATACCTGGCTTGTACATAGCTACTTTAAACATTGACAATGGAAGATTGTCAGACAACATTGCTTAAATTTGGAATTTGTGAGGGAAATATTGCTGATTTTGTCATGGCTAATTGCTAAGTGTTTTGCCACCACCCTACCATCCATACTTTCACTTCACAATATAATATCAAATAATCTTTAACTTTAACTTTAACTTTAACTTTAACTTTATTTGATTTACCACAAAATACAAATAACGATAAAACAAGACAGTTACACAAAAGCAAATGAAAGTGGCGAGGAAGCCCAAACAGAAACCATGAGGCTTATAGACATTGGGCTCCCTCAGAGTAAAAATCAAGTTAACAGTAACGGTAAGGCCAGGATCGAAAGCAAAATACAATGAAGGTAAGTATAAATTAACTAATTACATAGACTGAGTTGACAAAATATAAGGTATGGTACAAGTAACAATAAGTATAAAAATAATATCAGACATGGAAGAAATATAACTATATTTACTACAAGATTTATAACTAATAATTCATATATAATTTTTTTTTCAATTTCGTTTTGAATAAGTGGAGAGAATTAGATTCTTTAATATCATTTTCTATAGTGTTATAATAAGTAGGTCCTTGGAAACTGACAGAAAATTTACGAAGGTTTGTTCTACAAGAAGGAAGGTGAAAATCGTTCGTGTGTCTAGTGGCATAGCTATGGACTTGTTTGTTTAAAGAAAAATAATTGTTGAACTTTGAAGGCAAAAGAGAATGGTTAAGAGAAAACATAAGTTTACCTAATTCTAGCTGTCTAATATCGGAAAGTTTTAGTAGCTCTAATTCTTTGAAAATAGGGTCTGAATGAGAATCGAAAGTTGATTTAGAAATAATTCTGATAACTCGCTTTTGCAAAGAGACAAGACGGCGAAGATTGGTTTTGTACGTAGATCCCCAGACAATAATACAATAATGAAGATAAGGATAAACTAAACAATAATAAAGAGTTTTTAGACACGGTTTAGGTAGAAAAAATCTTGCTCTATTAATGACACCTATTGATTTCGAGATTTTACGAGCTACTTGAGAAATGTGCGGTTTCCAAGACAGATGTTCATCAAGGACTACACCGAGGAAGACCGTTTCCTTAACCTGTTCGATTCTCTGTTCGTTTATGCATACTTGCATTGGAAAATGATACCTTTTCTGTCTAGGCTTAAATAACATAAAGTTTGTTTTCTTTAGGTTTAAGGAGAGTTTGTTTGCCTTGAACCAAGTATTGAACCAAGTGAATTATCATGTTTGATATGTCCTTTTCAAGCACAAGCTTTAACCAACAATTGAGAATAAAGATTGTTGGTAGTAAAAAGCATCTTTATGAAAAAGTCACATGTTCAATGTCAGAGAGGTTTGGAGATATGCTTAATTAATAAGATTAAGATATCTATACTAACCTGCTTTGCATTTCCTACCCAGAATGTGATGTGATCAAAAGCAATAAAAGAGCTAGCCTCAGGCTAGAAAAAAGACAAAAATATGTTCATTTAGAGCTTATGTGGTGATCATGAACTTGATCATGCAGTGCATGAACTACTTCTGATAGGCGAACTGGCATAAAAACTTAAGATTTTTGTGGCAGGACACAATGCCCCCACCCCTCCCCCTTCTCCCTGCTTGTAAACCCCCCCTGGTTATACGCCCATCTACCTGCAAACAGAAAAATGCATCTGATCATAAGTGGGCATGGTCTGGTTCAGTAGAACACCATCATGCAATAAATTAATCCCCCTCCCTCAGCCCCAGGAATGTCAATGGCAGTTCATGCATCCAGGAACATCACAGATTGGTGACTAAAATCTTATCATGCATTCACATTCTTACTGCTAGTAACCTTTATATTAAACGGTACTCAATCACAAAATTTCAAGAATTACATCAATGTGAGGTTATGTAAGCTTTAATTTTCATAAATGTACCTGAATAGTACTAGCTACTAGTTGCTCACTTCAAACTCATAGGGTCTCAAAGGGCCAAATATTTAAACGAAGTCTAACTTAAGCCCCGGTTTAACGAATGTTTGAACCTTCAGATCTCTTCTTTGATATCTTCTCTAGTCTTCTCTATATACTTTCATAAAACTGTTCACAATAAATGATGTTTAGATAAAATCGTTCGGCAATTGAAAATGACTTAGAACGTGGTTTTGATAAATACTGGCTAAACTACGTTTAAATATTTGACCCATAAAAATTACTGACCACGAATTTCCCGCTTTCAGCCAAACATCGAGCTGATTATTTCAATTATCAACAACAAAAAACTTGTCCCATTCACATTAGTACATTTGACGACCTCAAGTAAAGAGGGGAATTTCATAAGTTTTTGTCACGAAAACGTAAGCACGCTGTGTCGGTGGAACTGAAAACGTGCCTTATTTGCATTCCTTGATCTATCTTACCTTCTCTCCTTTATCCGTATAAGTTGTCTAAAAATACGAAAGAAGTAAAACGAAATATGTCATTTCAACTATAAAACGATATAAATCGGTTAAAATAACAAAATACATGCCATTTTCGCGGTGCAAACGATGTGAAATGGATTAGACGCTTGTTTCCATCTAGTAAGAACCCAGGCCTTTTTGTTCCTACCATATATGGTCATAAAAGACCAGCCCTCTAATCCGCCCCCTTTTCATGATCATCACCCGAGCGGCATCCTCGGAGACCCAGGGGCAGTCTGACTGCCCCTTGCGACTTCGCCACTCCAATTAATAACGTTTATTGAGGAAATTAAACAAACTGCTCCTACCCCAGTCAAGGAAAAATTTAAACATTAATAACTAGACTCATCGAAAGGCGAATTAACTAGGCTACCATGGCGATTTTTTTTTCTGAGAGTGAGAGAAGCGTCGACTGGAAATCAGCTTTGAAAATTGGAGTTACTCTAGCACTCTTCCAGTCTTTGGGAACGATTCCCTTAGAAATAACTAAATTAAAAATATGTGTAAGTCGCTTTAGCTTTCCCAACGTTATCCTCGAAGAACGAATGAAAGTAATTCTTTTTGGAGGCCTTAATAGAATGGTTAACACGATTCCTAAGTCTCCTGTACTCTGCCCTTTTCAACTGATCACTGGTGACAATTGCAATGCGCTTAATTCTGTCTCTTTCCCACATCAATCGTTTGATCTCAGGGGTGAGCAAGGGAGCATTAGAGTTTCTAACTCTCCTTTTCTTAACAGGTGCATGAACGTTGGCTACTGCTATAGAAATGATTGTTTCCACACCTCCCATGCGCCAGTAGGGTTGTCAATCTGCTCAATTGTGTCCCACGGAACCAGCGCCATGTCATTCACAAAGTCATCAGGCACAAAATTTTTATATTGTCTCGATTCAATGATTCGCGGGATCGACCTAGGGCATGTTAATTTACGAGAGACATAGATCAAACTATGATCGCTGCATTCAAGAGGAGATACACCTGCTGTAGCAAATTTGACCGGCTCATTGGTAAGAAATAAGTCGATAAGTGATTTAGTACTTGAAGTGACGCGTGTAGGTTCCTTGATCAATTTAGTATATTGAAACAATTCACAGAGTTCAATTAGGTGTCTAGTTTCATTAGCAGGGGTAACTGCCATCAGATAACAACGACCGAGACCAGGTTGAGCCTGCGATACGAAAAACGTCATGCGGTCTTGCCCACTATTATGTACTATTATGTACACAGTGAACGTCTTCGCAGAAGAACTGCCTAGATTTACACCAGGAGTTCTCAGAAAAACAGATTCAAAACATGGGGGAATCAGAGACAGGTCCTTTGCTACCTTTTGTGGTTCAACAAAACCCACCAATAAATGAGGGAACAGACCATCTGGACCCAAATATAGCCAGTGGAGAAATGAGCCATCCAACACAATGGCCTGCGCCAAAGGAATCTGGAGAGTCCATCACGGACCTTCCTCTACAGAACATCGCTTTTGGTTCTACAGAGCATAGATCAAGTTGGTTCTACTGCGCACTGAGCACAATTTGTTCGAAGATTAAATTTATCTTTGATTCTCAATGGCCTCTGACTTGTTTTTTAGCGATAGCTTTTCTGGGTTTCTGGCTGCCAGTGAAGAGGAAGTCGATATGGCCGCTTACGTTTGTCCCTGTGTTTCTCCTGCTATTCGGAGTAGGAGCACATTTGTATTTCACGCTGACCCAAGACCATCGAAACTATCACATAGGATCAAAGATGCTTCTTTCATCGCTGTGGATAAGTGGTTTCGTGTCGTACGTCCTAGCTCTTTATTACTTTAGATACCAATCGCAAGAGTGGATGAGGGATTTACGCGGACGCCAAAACCGCGCTATCAATGTAGCTCTCTTCACTGGGTTTTTCCTAGTATCATGGATTCTCTTTGGCGATGCCTACTATCAGGTCATTTTTGATTTGGTCAACATAAAAGCAACTATTTTGGAGGATTGCCGACACCCACTAGCATGCAATGCAGTTTTCTATACCTTGGCGTCTTCCATATACTGGGGCATGTATTCGTCCGTTGCTGTTTGCTGTGTTTTCTTCTCCTTATGCCTTGTCATGGCAAATGACATCGATAAAGGGTACAGACGGATATCTACATGCACTGGGACCATCACTGATACATTGGTCATACACCAAGAAATGCGACAGCAAATAGCAGAACGGGTCAATACGATACGTATTTGGTTTCTCATCCATATGTTATTCTATGTTGTAGTTTTTTTAGCGAACATTTTTGAGTGGTTGGAGGCTGCGCGACAGCTTCACTTTGTCTACGAGTACATGGCTCAGATTTGCGGTACCCTAGTTGTGCTCTACAAGTTTTTCTTCCCGTTTCTTTCTGCGAGTTACGTGACCTGGCACGAATCAACCCTTGTGCAAGACTTGAATGACAGACTAGATTTCTTGCCGGGCGAAACTTTCCATTCCCGACTTGATCTAGAATTGTTTCTTCAACAAAGTAGGAGACGTGGCTACGGATTTCGTCTTTTCAAGATTCAAATAACCTTGACTATTGCTATCTTTTCCTTGCTTGGTTCAGTTTTTGGGCTGATACATAATTTTAGAAGTTAAGACATGATCCCAGAACGGAAATTAGGTCAATTAGGTCACGCGCGAGACGTGGGTTTTTTGCATAGGGATGACAGTCGGACACATGAGACCTTGGGCGAGTCAAGCTAGTAACTTATGATGGATCAAAACACTGCGATTCTGTTACTATACTTGGAATTTGTCTATATAATTTAGAGTAGTTGCTTTGTTTAAAACGAAGCAAACACTAAATCAGTACAAAAGTTGTAACAAATTGTAAAAGAGCAAGGCCAGGCCTAGCAAGTCACTTTCCCGCATTCGTTTTTTTCTGGCAAAAACCGTGGTTCTCGCCAAGACTGTTTCTAGCAAAATGTTTGAATTCTCTCAAAACTTCATTACGTAGCTCCCCCACTTATAGGCCCCCCAGTTACAGCAACCTGTAACCAACTGAAATACATCCAATTATAAGACTCCCCCCTCCCCCGGATATAAGTATCCCTCAAAATGTATTAAAATGAATTTGATTTATTATGACGTTTTAAAGTTTAATTAAAAACCAATCAATGTAAAACGTATTTTGATCAGCACTACTATAGCCTGTTTTGAAGCACCTTTTATATTCCGGTTATAAGCCCCCTCGGATATAATAAGCCCCTCCATTTATTTTGTAAGCCCTCCTAAAACCACTACTAAGATTTAGAAGCCCCGGACTTAAAAGCGGCAGTTTATGAGGGGCACCCAACGAGAACATAGTTCAAAACCTCTTAAACATAGCACTGTTGAACGTATTTTAGTATTTAAACGGTAGATATGGGCATATTTTTATCCCCTAAAAATTTTTCATCTGTTCGGATTTCCTAGCTGAAAGTCTAGTGATCCGAAAATTAAAGGGGTTCAAAAGTTACCATTTCGAAAATTTCAGCCAGAAAAAAGGCTCCCGAAAATTCTAGGTGACCTTTTTAGGGTAAAAATCCCTTAAAAATGGGCAATTATACCAGTTTTTAGATGTTCGAACATCCTAGGAGAGGCAGGCAAGCAAGAAATTTTACAACAAATCTTCCGAAAATTCTAGATCTCAAGTCGTTTTCCGAACAGATATTTTCCAAAAATTGTCGTTGGGTGCCCCTGGTTTATGGTACAGTGGATCCCCGCTCTACGGACACCCGTATTACGTATATAACTAACGGACAGTTTTGTTTGCCCCGACTAAAAGCTCATACGTTTTCTATAAAATTAACCCACTTTATACGGACCCGGTTAATACGGGCAGCGAGCTTTTCTCCGTGTCCCGAGTCAAAAACTCTCATATCTCGTCAACCCCGCGTTACGGAAACTAGTTATCTGTGCACTGCCTATTTTCATTTTCACAATCATGAGCTAATTGTAGAAATTGTACAGTAAATGACAGATTTCAAAAAAGAGTGACACGAGGATCCTGCTAGTTGTAAACGTTGGATCTCTAGAAAAGAGATCTAATCAGCCAAAGTATAAAGAATCAAGAACGAGAAGTCCAAAGACTACTGCAAAGCTGATTCAGAACAACGTGTTTTGTTTTTTCATAACAATATTTCGGCTGGCCATACCAGCCATCTTTAGGTTTACAGATGTTACTGAACTTATGTAGGAATCACAATATTATATAGATGAAGAATGTCGCAATAAAAATCGTTTAAAAGAGAGAGGCGGAAATGACGTACAACACAAAAACTGGAAAGGAAAAATACTAAGGATATGGATTACAATAATTCGTCACGGCGGTTTAGGCCAGGAGGTTCAAGAGTCATGGCTTTATCTATCAAATGCGACTCCCTGTTCTTCCTGTGTTTGACCCTTGTCCGGGGGGGTTACTCTTTTTAATTTTTGCTGGGTATGTGCTGCTGGCCTCTCAGAGCCCCTACCCCATTATAGGCTGTTCTGTGGCCAATTATAGACCCCATCTTATTCACTTTTGGGCAAATGTGTAATTTTCGAGATTCCGCCTTAGTCACTTTCTATTTATGTATCTACCTTATATTGAATGAAGAACACTTTACTTTTCACCTACAGTACAAACATTCTGGTACGTTTCCTAACCGTAAATATGGAGAACTGTCTTACCCCAAAAATTAGAAAATGTGCGACCCCATTCTAGTAACTCTATTGAAAATGCTACCCCATTATAGTCAATCCAGTCGTGAAAATGCGACCCCATCCGGCGGCACATCCCCATTAGCCTCTTATAAGGAAGTACCCCCCCCCCGGACCCTTGTATTGCCGTGACGCCCTTAAACAGAGTTTTCTTCCTCTTATTACACAAGTTTGGCTTCCTTGGCTTTATTCTACAGTGTTTGGTCCTAACGTTCCTCCTTTTTGTCTGTTTTAGTCTTAATATCAATAGAGAGCTTTAGATTCTAAGACGAGTACGACTAAGATGAGATTTCCTCAGTACTAAGTAGTGCGCGCGCGTGAGGCAGCGTCATTTTGGTGGGAAAACTTGGAAGCCGTCGTCATTCTACTACGAGTTTTAGCAAGAATGTCGTAATGACGGCAACGAGTTATCAAATGCTAGAAGTTTTATCATTTTGCGCACGAGAGAGGGCTTAACCTCCTTTAATATAGATATCAGTGCTATCGTTTCTAATAAAAAACGAAGCTTTCCGGGGTGTCTATTTTTTGAGAATACGAAAAAAAACGTTAAGTTAAATCTCGTCCTCTTACTGTCGCTCGCGAATCTAAAGGTATCTAATAATTCATGTGTCCGAGACGATTTTTCTGAGAGCCCCTTTAATACGGACACACTGGCATGTCCCCTCGGTGTCCATATTAACCGGGTTCCACTATCAGTTCTACATTACACATGCACTTAAAAACCGCTTAATCAAACTATTTGTCGAATAAGGAATTTATAAGAGTGGAGTGGCGGTGTTTAGAACAATGCCATTTGGAACAAAGCATTTATTACTCTGGGATTGAGTGAGGAATGCGAAATTGTATCTTTTATGCACCTCCTTGTAAGATCTGGAGCCACTAGACTGAGTTGGAAGGGCTTTTCAAGTTTAATATTTGGGACCTTTTACTTGACGGGTGGAATAGTAAGCCTAACCGTAAATGAGTTCTGACAAGGCTAAAACATGCAGCTGTAAATGGCCGTCAACAATGAGACTTTTATTGCGAGTTCTGGTAGTCAGAGTAAGGGAAAACGCCTTAGTACCTTTAACTAGTTACTGCCGGACCCACTAAATGTCGCGTGTAAAGACGTTATGAAAGTAAGGCATGTGCGCAACAGAGGATGGTTAAGCTGATGTCTCCGATTTTTCCTGAGGGGAGGGGGGGTCTGTACACAGGCTAATGGACGAGCCGGAATCAATAATATTAATTGCATATGGTAAATATCTTAGTATAGGACATGGTTTTTCTGATGATTGCAGTATTGTTATGTGAACTGGTGTCAAGCCTGATCTTCATCGATCTAAAATTTAAGCCTTTCTTTTCGTACGGACACCTGTGCCTTGAAGAACTCACCACGAGTTAAAGCAATTGTAGATATTTTTTCAGCAGCATGGAACATATGGCAAGCCAGTAAGGGCCTCTTTTCTCGTGGGCGCCGTTTATCTCAGCACGCGGCCCGCCTTCAGTTCCATCTCAAACCCCAGTTATTGGTTTTTTTTATTATTATTTCTCGTTTCCGTCGTGGTCTTCGTGGTTTCTCGAGTTCTCTAGTAACGCTATCAGGCGAAACAACTCTTGATGTGCGACGATTTCGTTAAAAAAACTGAAGATTTGATGGCCACCCGCAACGGAAACGACCTCCGCCTGCACCCATAGAGAGGCTCAAGTGGCTTCAAGTTTGTTCAAAACTGTTAATTACTAAAAAGGGCACCTGCAGCTTTTAGTAAACATCTACCATTAAGTTCAGAAAAACACAAACTTCCGAAAGTACTGATAAGGCCAAGGTTTAAAAGATTAGTTGTGTTGTTTGCTTAGTATGTGATAGCTTAACGTTCGAAAGGGAAGAGAAAGGGAATTTGTGCTCGAAATGCCCTTCCCTTTCCATTTGGAACCTGCCACGCAGGCTCAGTAGTAAATCCGAGAAAGATACTGGTTTGGCGGGGGAAGGGGTACTCCCATATAACAGTAACAGTATCTTTATTGTGCCTTACGCCCGATATGGAGGTATCGGTCCATTTGCAATAAAGGCCATTTACATTTAAGTAATGATAACGTCTATGATATACGCACCATAAAATAATAATGGACTATACCGGTATGTACCCCTCAGCAGGGCACGCTTTTTGCCTCTCTCACCCTGAAACAGGGAATTAAAATCACACTTTTTCACTGGAAAGAGATGTAACCACATCTTTCTTCAGTTTTACCCTGGAACAGGGACAATTTTTTGCCATAATCCGCAATTATTCTGAATCAAGGTTAGGTGCGAAACTACGCTCCCCTGATAATAATAATGCGAACATTTTTGTTGTTTATTGTTTGGTACAGGATTCCTATTTTTACCATTATAATCTAGAGCGAAGTCACCAATTCATCTCTTTTTGTCTTCCGGAACAGACCGAGAGTCTTAAAGACACAGGTTCCGGAGTACTCCAGGGGTGCCGAGAGATGGGGGAAACCCTGGAATGGACTCAGCAGCCTTCTTTACCTTAAAAGGAATTGTCCTTTGCAAACGAAACACAGTAACTGGTGAAAAGAAGGAAGGAAAGCCGGAAGAAGGGAATAAGAACCTACCTAGTCTATATAAATTGCTAATAACCAAAATACGATTTTGTCAGACTTGCTAAAATTTAGGTTCTTACACGCGGGTTTTTACTATATATATATATTGGAAAAGTTTCGAGTAAAAGGAACTTGTTCGTGCCAAGCTCATTGATAACTGTTCTTTTTAATTGTCGTGCTGTTTCTTAAAGGAATATTTTCCTTGTTTCTGTTATTGTGTCATTTTATTGGAAACGATTTGTTTCACCTTTACCGCCAACAGGTGACGAATTATCTATATATGCCGCAGCAACTTCCACCTCAGTGCATGTGCGAACCATGAAGGGGAAATA